GTTGCCCAGAGAAACTGAGGACACCCCATCCCTGTTCTAGGTCAGGCTAGATGGGGCTTTGAGCAGGTTGGTCTACTGAAAAGTTCCCAGCCCATGGCAGGGGTTGGAACCTGATGATCTTTAGGGTCACTTCCAACCCAAACCATTCTGTGGCTTGAGAGTGATTTCCAGGAGTCTGTTTGAGCTGAGGTCACACACAGCAAATGGGAAAAATTAAAAGCCAAGATTATATAAGAAGGAAATTTGGCTAAAAGCCATTTTTAGATTTTACTACTGTCATTGCTTACTAGGTTTATTCTTTCTTCCAGACAGAATAAACAGAAAGGCTTTTCTTACCATCACATTAGAGAATATTGACAAGATTCCCAAAGCTATTACTAATTATAATGATTAGAAGAAAATTCCATGGTTCATGACAAATGTTCTTTTCTTTCTTCTGTACATTTTGTTTCCTCCCCCTGTACCTTAGACACAGAAGTCGCTCTGCAGCTTTGGTCTCCCTCCTGAGCCCCAATTTTCCTGCCCAGGGAGGACCAGGGCAAGCAACTTGCTGCCCTCCAGCTTCACACTATATTTTCCACCCAGGCTTCCACGCTCTGCTCTATTCCCCCTGCTGCACACTCACCTTCATAAGACCATCACTAAGGAGTGATGGATCAAGGCAGGGAGATACCCCTAAATTTGAGTATCCCTTCTTGCAGGAATAATTAAATATATCCTGAATTCAACACAGCACAAGTCAATCACTTTCAATATTTCAAGAAAAGCATTCTCTTTCGTAGTCAGTTGATGAAACCTGAAATGATGGCTGCAACAACAGCTGTCAAATTTAAAGTTCTTTTGACGTAAAATGCATTGACACCCTCTCCTGAATTTGGGAAAAAAATTAAATCTGAGAAGGGTGAAAATTTTGTCTTCACTCTCAGATGAATACAGAAACAAAAACTTCTATTTCTTGAGCAACAGTAACTAAGGCATAAATTCCTTTTTGTTTTTACATGAGATGTATGTTTTATATTCAATGCACAAATAATTTTATTATAACCTTTGAATGCTCAATTTTCAGATTAATTTCCTTGTTGAATTCTTCATTTTCTCACAAGCCTCTGCTCCCCCCAACCCCTCCTTTCACCTTTAATTGAAAAGGCAATGTTGTCACCAGGTTCAACCACAACTTCACTTGACAGGTCTTCAGAGGCAGCTCCAACACAGGCCAGGAGCCAGTGTACAGGGTGCTGCAATTTCTGTGAACACAAGCAGGTAGTGGCAAGTGTAGTAAATTAAAGATGTAAAGCCAGGGAGGAGTACAAAAGAACCAAACAATCTATGATACTGAAAATCTACACACTGGAAGATGGATGGATTGCTGTCAAACTTATCAGAAGAATAAAAATAGCCATGGTTTTGCAGGAAGCATTACAATAAAACTAGATGTTTACATCTAGTGAAAGGCAATATGGGTGTAAGCAAAAGCATTCATTTGCAGATGCTTACCTCATATTTAGTTTTGGCTAATTTAGACTTTTGCTAAAAGAAGACAACATGCTTGCTGATAGCAACCTCAAGAGATGATCAAGAGACACAATCTACTCTCTTAAGAAGTCTTTAAGAGTCACTCACATTTTATGGAAGATGCAAAGAGGTCATAGCAGGAGAAGAGTTTTAATCAATACAGGCTGAGGGATGAAGGGATTGAGAGCAACCCTGCAGAACAGGTACTGGTGAATGGAAAGTTAACAGGAGCTGGCACTCACTACCCAGAAAGCCAACCATGTCTTGGGCTGCATCAAAAGCAGCGTGGCCAGCAGTTCAAGGGAGGTGATTCTGCCCCTCTTGTGACACCCCACTCAAGTGCTGCATCCAGCTGTGGGCTCCCAGTATAAGAGGACATGGACCTGTTGGAGAGGGTACAAAGGAAGGTGACAGAGATGATGAGAGGGCTGGAGCACCTCTCCTATGAAGACACACAGAGAGCTGGCATTGTTCAGCCTGTAATAGTTAAAGAACCTTTTGATATTTAAAGTGATCTATCAGAAAGATGGGGACAGACTTTTTAGTAGGGCCTGCTGTTACAGGACAAGGGCTGATGGTTTTTAACTCAAAGAGGGTAGATCCAGACTAGACACAAGAAAGAAAACTTTTATGATGAAGGTGGTAAACACTGGCACAGGTTGCCCAGAGAGGTGGTGGATGCCCCATCCCTGGAAACATTCAAGGCCAAGTTGGATGGGGCTCTGAGCAACCTGCAGGTGGGGTTAAACTGGAAAAACTTTAAAGATCCTTTCCAACCCAACTCATTCTATGAATCTAAAGCAACAAAGGAAAGGGTGATGCAGTTCAAGTAACATACTACCAAAATTATTCATACAGATTCTGGGTAAAAGCAGGACTATATTACAGCCAGAAATGAGTCTTTGACAAAGCAATAAAAATAGATCAGAAGATGATGGATGGAATCTAAGTTCCATTACCTTCCCACCCAAGCTTTTTGGTGAGACTACACAGACCACATCCAGACCTACTCACAGACTGCAGGTAAGAAAGAGCTTAAGGGGAAAGAAGAGCCCTCCACAGAAGACAGCGATGACACCCAGGTACAGAACTTGAGCCCCAGACCCAATATCACATCTTAACTCTGTACATGGCAAGTTTGCCATTTCTAACACATCAGACAGACATCTTTCTATTTGTATCAAAACCACTATGTTTTCTTGGTTCTGCATTTCCTAGAGGCAAACATGCTCTTTCACACTTTACCACACTACATTCAAAACTTTTTACATATAGCTTTATTCTTCTGTACTGCAACCAGAGTTTTTCTGGCCCTTTCTCTGACAAGTGATGGAATACAGGAAGTCAAAACATAGCTCTAGCAGTGACAGGTTACTGCTAAATAACAGATAAATTGTTGCCAAGTAATTCTGAGAATAGAAAGCAAGCCCCATCTCGACCAAGCCAAAAGGTGGGAAACGCACAGAAAGGACACACTAGACAGCTGCTGCTGGACTGAAATTAACAGTCAAAGGCAAAAGAGTAATCTTGCTTCTAACTGTAGCTGGCATTCAGCAATACATTGCTTCTTTTTTTTTTTTCCCTTTCACGCTTTAGTTCTACCACAGGAAGTCTACACACTAACAAATTACAGGTTTGCAGCATTTAATCCTGTTCACCTTGATAAATGCATCTGAGGATGATCTAATCTATGCTAGTGACCATTCAAATAAGTTCCTTTCCTCTCTCATCCCATCTTCTAGCTCTTGGCTCGTGGCTGCAAAGTCTTTCCCTTCCCTAATCTTAACCACAGCTTTGCAGCTCACTGACTTCTTCATGATGAGGTTTAAACTACTACCTGGATGGTAAAGTAATCCAACAAAACCAGGGTATTTTCCATACAGGTTAGTGACTGGTAGCTTACTCACTGTCAGTGCAGCAAGTACCCGAACAAAGGAAGCTGAGGAGCTGCATAGCAAAGAGCTGGGAAGAACAAGCTTTTCATTTCAACCATGGTGGGCCCTTTCCACAGGACTGTCCTATGGGATAAGAGCTGCAAAAGCACAATGTCAGCCCCTTTCACCTTCTACCCAATGGCTTGTGGCTCCCTAGTCAGAACCAGCAAGACTTATGCCAAGATGTGCTCATGGTCCAGTGGAACTCACTGCAGCAGAGGAACACCCTGCTCTGCCTCATGGGGCTGCCCTACCACACTGATGAGCCAGAGCTGCAGCTTCCTCTCAGTGGCACATGGATCCATGTAACTTGCAAATCTGCTTCCAGATTCATGATTTGTGGTCACCAGCTATTTCAGACTTACTCCTCATGCTGTCATAATAATTTCCCAGTACCTATTTATGACTGCAAATGCTCTTTTCTCTATCAATGACCTACAAAACAAACACAGAGCTTCCAGTAATGTATCTTGATTTTAGTTTCAATAAAAGCAAGTGACAAATAGCTAAATTAACAACTTCCCTACCTTAAATCCAGACTTATAGATGTATATGCACAGACTAAGTTCATTATTGTTGCAGTTTGATACACAATCTAATGAAACATACTTGTATGTAGCAATAACAAAACCAAACATATGGAATGAACCAGTCCTTGTGGAAACAGAGGTGTGCTTCAATGTAGCAGAGTGGATAAAACAGTGATAGCACTGATTCAATACTCCTATTTCACATTAGCAATAAGTAAAGCAACTACCAAGGGCCTCATTTGACCTTAACTGTTCAGGACGTAATGTCAACATTTGTATAATCAACCTAGTGCCCTGCTCTAACATATTAAGATAAAAGCTAGAAGTACCTCAAATAATGAGATCTTTATTTTTAATTATCCAGTACCTTTAGGCAGCAATTGCAAATAAAAGGACTAGAAAAGAAATCTGGTTGACCTCCAGTTATTTCAATACTTGAGGGAAGCACAAAAAGGGCAAGTTTGAAGCACATGATGCCCCTTCAATTCCTAACAGAGGTAACTTTTGCATGCAGCTCTTAATGGTTCTATGTCAATGGAACTCTATAAATCTGGAGTGATGTAAAAATTTTAATCCACCACACAATTTGATCTATTTCTGTAAGAAGTCCCCTTCTACTAATGCAATTCTTTGGATTATACATGACCATTTTTCAAAGACAAAAAAGGGAAGTCAACTGCTTTAAAGGCAAAGTTAGTCTTAGAAAATGTTTCATGTATACATTGGCTTTAACACAGCATGACTTTTTTCCATTATAAACACAATCTTCTCTCCCCTGCCCCCTATGAAGGGCCTTGACACTTCTATTGCACCAACATTGTTATTACACCATGCCACTGATCTTCCCCTACTGAACCCCAGGAATGCCATACAGTTCTTTTCCATCTCTTAGAACAGAGCTCAGTTTGTAATGCACAAGGAGAATATAACCTTTTAATACAGGTATTCTCAGTTTTAACCTCACATACTTCACATAAGATAACACAACACTAATCTAAACACATTTGTTTGAATGTAAACTTACCTCTAGATATATTGAAGGTGGGTTATGCTCTCCTCCAAATTTGTCTAGCAGTGCTTCTATATGTTCTTGTGTCAATTTAATCATCTGTTTGATGTTCCACACCTAGAACAGAAAATTAAAATTTTTAATCATCAAAGGAAGCCTACAGAATCTGTCCTAGAACAAAATAAGAACCCCTCAATATTTAGTAAGACAAGTCTACAATAAAATTTTTAATTATCAATAAACAAGTGCAAAAGGCTATCCTGTTCATCCAGTGTCAGTAATAGTTTGCTTCTGAAATAAACAGAAAGAACTTATATTTGGTCTTAAAATTCAGGACCCACTGAATAAACAACTTCTAAGAATGATTAACAAGAAAAGCAAACCATTCATATGAAGTATTTTCCTTGCCAGACTTTGCAAGGAAAAATTTCTAGAGTATTACAAAATTTAGTGAAGGAGTTTTTCTATTAAAACTTTCTTAGCAACGTGTGTTAACAACACTCACAAACTCATACCTACAGCTCTATTTACATGGCAATAGGACCTCTTGATTTTAAAGAGCATCTTCTATGTCTCAACTTCCATATTCAGTCTACCCTGCAAGCTACAGACCTTGGACATGACCTAAAAAAGACATTTACCTCCTGTGCACAGAGACAACCTACAGCATTGTACTGTGAAACCACTCATGTTGCTGCTCATTCTTCACAACCGGAAAGAGATCACTTTAGGACCTGGACACCACTGCAGGTGAACAGTATCATGAATCTGAATTTATACCTAAAAAAAGTCAGCAAAGCACAAAAACAGACCTTTAAAGCAATAATGCTACACTAATGTAAGAAGCAAGTCCAAGCAAAATCACAAATTGATAGCAGAGGATGAGGGAGGAAGAGAGGAGAATTGCTCCTTCATACATACTGTTATTCTGACTACTTATCAGAAAAAAATTATTCAATGAAACCTTTAGAGCCAGGATGCTCTAAAAAGCATCCCCAGGGTGCTTCTCCCCAAGACAGTTAAAAGATTCCTGGTACCTTTTCCAGTCGGTCTCTTTTCTACTTCATGGATTGTAATATATAATACATAGTCTCAAGATCAGGTCTCAATGTAGAAATTGTGACAACCTACCTCTGCAAAAAAACCATGCAAATAATTTCATATTCTAAAGTAGGCACCAATAATAGGATGCAATCTAAGATGGATCAAAACAAGTTTTAATCTGTAAATTGAGAAGCTCACAAACAAACAAACTCTAAAATACTGAACATGCAGTTTGCACATCACCTTATTTACCCATTCTATTTCTAGATATTGAGTTATCTGCCAGCAATTTCCTGAAGTAAACTAATGATTGATTCACTTCTAGCCCAATTTTTTGAACAGACACCAGAACAAAGACTTCATCAAGATGCTGCAGTTGAGCAAAAATAGTTTCCTCAGGAACAAGTAAACCAAACTACAAAGATTGAGAATGGAGGGATACCAAAGAATGTGCTACTCAAGTATTCTGTACGTAAATTCCCTTGAGGCAATGGTGGGAGTCAACTTGCATACATTTATCAGTGAACCTAGGACTGCCAACCAGCAGCAAAGAGACGGTTTTCTGTATTTGGTTAGTTTTTCCCAAGGTGACAAGTACTAGTTGTATGCTTGGTGAAAAGAACAAGCATGAATGAATACCATAAGAATTAACCTGTTCAATATAAGGCTTAGAACATTTGCTTACCCTGTAATTTGTAACATGCTGTTAACCTGGACTGCATGTACTGAGAATTCCTAGCAATCTTAGCAATTATCTCAGGATTACCTCCAGAAATAGGTTCACTAGTACTTAAGGAAATGTCTATTATTTGGTTATTCTGGCAATTTTACCCAGCAAAGATTTTCCTCATCTAAATGAACAATTTACTAGACTTAACTGCCTGGCAACGAGGAAGGTGAAGAGGAAAGATTTTTGGCCGACCAAGCAAGACAGAATTGCAGGAGAATTTGAGGTTGGAAGGGAACTCTTTAGGTCATCTGATCCACGCTCCTTTTCAAGCAGGATGCCAAAGACCATGTCCAATAGTTTTTGAGTATTTCCAAGGATGGACAGTCCACAGCATCTGTGCCAGTGCTCAGTCACCTTCACAGTAAAAACATTTCCTGATGTTCAGAAGGAACCCCCTGTATTTCATTTTTTATCCACTGCCTGTGGTCCTGTCACCAAGGACTGCTGAAGACAGCCTGGCACCATCTTCCATTTGCCCATCATCTTTGTGGCCCTTCATTGGACAGTTTAGTCAGCATAGCTCTTCCCTTCTGGGGAGCCCTAAACAGGCCACAGCACTTCAGGTGAGGCCTCACCAGTGCCAAGAAGAAGGAGCCCCTGCCACATAAGTTTCCAAATACTTTTTTTTCAATATCAATAATGAGTAATTTCCCTGCTCATACTATTTTCTATTTTCTGTCCATAACCAGAACTTTGTTTCTCTCTCCCCTTACAGTAAAGACACCAAATAACAAATGTAACACCACCAGCAATACGCATAACGGAAACATGTAATTTTGGAAATGTTGACAAGAGAATCAAATAGCCTCCAAAGGCAGAGATCTTCCTCCAAAGTTAGTATAATAACAAGTGGAACCCAACTAATTTAGGCTGCCTAGCAAAATTGTGGCTGCTCCATACCTGACAAGGTTCAAGGCCCAGTCAGAAAGGGCTTTGAGCAACCTGGTCTAGTGGAAGGTTCCCTGTCCATGACAGAGCAGTTTAAGCAAGATGATCTTTAAGGTCCCTTCCAACTCAAACCATTCTGTGATTCTAAGATTGATTAAAAAAATTTAAACTTGCTACCAGCCTACAATATAAATATCTTCACCCGAAGAAGCTGAAATTACAGTCTAATGGAAGACAAAATTTCTCAGAGGAACCAAAATCATTGCCCTGAATTACCTAGCGTATATCTGTGCAGGAAACCAAGAGCCATTCCACAAGGGAACCCTACAGGCAAACTTAATATGGATTCTATAATCTTAGAAAGGCTCTTCATACATTTAAAAGTAAACTGAAGGGAGAAGGAAATATATCAAAGTCAGCCATAGCAACAAATAATTACTTGTTGCTCACAGAAATGTAAAAGCTATTTTGTATGCCATATTCATCAAGTCTTCTGACAAGATGAGAACTTTCACAAATCTAGTATTGACTAGCATATTCTAGCCCAAGAACACATATTCTAGCCCAAGAACACATATGCCATAACAAATTTCCAAGCTTCACAATTTCCTTTTAAGTGGCAATTTGTACTGCTATTTACTTAGAGCAAATTTACCTTCTGGCTTTCTGCATCTGTGAATATACTAAGACAGAATTTTTTGTGGTCCAGAGCAATCCTTAAGTATCTGGCTTGAGAATGAACCCCTGTGCTGGCACACTGCATCCTACTATGCAGGATCGATTGCTACTTCAATTCAATTGAAGGAACTCAAGACTTTTCCTCACAGGAACCCAGAACAAGTGACCTCATGTGACTCACAAAAGCCTGCTGGTGCCCAGCACAGCATCCACAGCTTTTGTCTCACAAAAACTCCACCACCCCTGTTGTCTTTTCACAGCCAGCAGAGCCAGCAACTTCAGCCCATCTTTCCTCCTTGCAGACTTGCTTGTTCAGACAACTCAGCTTAATTTGTGTCATGAGCACAGCCCAGTGAATTACATCTCTGGAGTTCAGCAGCACTCACAGATACATATGTTTCTTTAAACTGTCCAAATAAAACCCAAATGTGCAAAAATGGCCAAGTAAAGGTCTCACTGCCCATAAGTACATACATTCCAAGACAAGAGCAAAGAACTGCCTAACAACAAAGACACCAAAACCATGGCATATGGAATCCTTTTATCAATCAGTTCCGGACCAAAGAGCTTGTTCCTACATCACAAAATAAACCCAAGTTTTTAAAGATTAAAGCAATCCCTTTATCCCCTCTTTTTTCACACTTTTTTAGTAAAAGTAAAAGAAAACTAGAAGTAAAGAAGTAAAGAAAACTGCCTGAAAGTTACTAAGAAAGAACAGACATATTTTTTCTTATTCTCATGAACACTCCACTATATTTATGAAACCCACACCTGTAGGAAAACATAAAACCACAATTGTCAAGTATCTTATAGAAATTGATGCCAGCCTCAGAGACAGTTGCTGGAACTGTAAATGCATTTTGAAGGAAACCTGCAGTGCATCCAGTACTGCCCACATGCAAGTCTGGTCCGTTTCCAGAGGAAACAGAATGGGAATTTGAGACACTGTTTAAACTGTAGTTCCATGAAAAAGTAATGAATCCTTTACAGCTTGGATAACCATATCATTTTTCCAAAAAAAGCATCAAATAAATGTTTCTGGCCCATCTTGTAGCATTAGGTTAAGGTTATTCTCTATCACAAGAGATTAGATTTGATTCTCCTTTTAGTGTTGCTGACACAAGGAAGCTGACGCAGGCTAACATAGACATAGGCAGCCAGACAACTGGAAATATTCCAGATATACTGGAATATATCAACTTGAATCTGCCTATTGTAAGTAACTGTGCATTAATTTTGCAAATAAGCACTGCCTTACAATACAATAAAGATGATGACCTATTTCAAGCCAGAGGCAAGTCAGATACAGTAGAAGCCTAAACTCATTCCGTTCAGGGAAGACTATGGCTGCACAGACCACAGAATATGTTGAGTTGGAAGGTACCCACAAGGATCATTGAGTCCAACTGCAAAGGATCATCTCTAGGAGTCACACCAGGAGCCTCTTCCAGTGGCCCCCAAGGAAGGAATTAGAGCACCAAGTCTGAGAGAGCTCAAGAACCTTTGGACAATAATTTCAGGTACACGCAAGGTTAAGCCACAAAGTTATTTTCGCATCCTTCGGTGCTTGTCAAAATGTGCAGTGCCTGAGACATCACAAAGCAAACCTATCTTCGTACTTTCTGCACCTGGCATCACTACTCAAGTCTTGCAGAGCATCCAAACTCTAAGCTGTATGATTCATACTTGGTAGAAGACACTGAAAGTTCAAATCTATTCTGTAAGAAAAAAACTGCATTGTTTGTCCAGGAACAGTACATCCTGCATTTGGAT